CTGTGTAGAAGAAGGATACGGAAATAACCCATTTCAACGTTCGTCTATCAGCTGTATAGACCAAGCCGAGGAAAATGGAAAAGTCTGGCCAAAAATAATGGAAAGTTAAAGGGTAAAAAGTAATATAAAATTTCTTTCTAAATTATTCAAAAAGATTAACATTTATCAGGTCTGTTCAAAAGAAAAATTGAATTTTGAATTTTTGCGACCTATGTACATTCGAATATGGAAAGTCCCTCTTATATGTTGAAACTCAAATGATGTTATATATGTTGGCATTATCAGCCAATTTGGATTAGTAGTTTGTTGTTGACAACCGAAATCACATTTTTTTTCTGCAAAATATCAATCAAAAATATAAATCACAATTTGCATTAGAAATGGTATTACATTTTATCCTAAAGGAGTGTATATGAGAAGTGAAAGCGCTTTATAGAAGGCTATTAAAATATTGATGACGATGAGTGACGTGGAGTTGTAACCACGTCAATGAGCGATGAAAATATAAAAACTTGTTTTGGCAAATCAAATCGCTCAGGGGTTATTAAATGGCATCAGCATCATTTCTGGTTCACTGTTAATGATCATAACTGATGACGAAATGTTGGGTATATGATTATGACGTCGAAGGTCAGATGAACTAAAACCAGAAAAAACACGCCTTGACCCATCAAATTTGATGTTGTTTTTCACTTACTTCTGCAAAAATAATGACGCGGTGAATCGTGAGTTCTTGCCAATAGCTCGTACGGTTAATAGGAAATACTACATAGAAGTTATGCAAGGTTAGCCTAAAGCAGTCCGGCTCAAACGAGATTAGAGTTGGAGAAACCAAATCAAGAATTATGCATCGCGATAATGCACAGCTGCGATTTTTTTCTTTCCTCGATACTAAAGAGACCAATGAAAAGAAAGTGCCCAATTGATGAACTGGAGTCAGTTAGGAAGAATAAGCTGATATCAATACCCAAATGCACATTTCACAAGAGCTTCAAGAATCGGTAGAAACCCTGGCGTTAGTGCATTATATCTGAAAGTTATTACTTTGCAGGGGACAAAATTGATTTTTCTGAATAAAACCAATATTTCCCTTATCTTTTTGAGCATGCCTGATATGTTAAAATTTTTTTTGAACTCAAACTCCTAAGTCATTTAAACTAATACAGAGTTGCAGCTGTTACTTCTCAGGTTGGAAGATTTATTTTTTATTTTCCCTACAAGAAATAACAATATTTTTTTGTTAATATTTTACTGAAACTTTCTCCGTCTTCTTTGACGACTAAACGTTTGTACGATTAACAAGATTGACTAACGATTTTTTTGGCAAATATCTTCATGCATTGGCAACTCTTGAACTATATGCGCAAATAAATACTGTTGTTATATAAGCAATGTACAATGCGTGCAGATGCGTCTGCCAGTAAATATGTTAAGGTAAATACTTGAAATATACTAAAATTACTTATGAAATTAGCTGAATCTTTACATATTACAATATATTAAGAACACAATTCTATTAGTACGCGTGGCTAAATGAAAGAAAATTTTTGTTAAATATGAACATTATTCTTCACTTCCAAGCAAAACAGGTGCTCAGGCTGGCCAAGTATAACATAAACAAATACGTAAAAGAAGAAAAAAAAGATGAAACTATACCAGTAAAATTCAATGAGGTAATTCAAGAACGCTGAATTTAATTTTTTTAATCAAAAAAAAAAAATTCAGAGCAACTCAAGATCGTACGAATGTGGCCTAAAAATCTTCATTTATAACGCTCTACTTATAATTGCAGTAAAAATTGATTTTTTAAGTTAAAGACTTTCACTCAACCCTAAATTTTTACTTCTTAGCTCGTTAAACAATGTAAACTATGAGCCTGAAATAGTGAGACAGGAGGCTGACTGACTCTTTCGGAATTCATAAATAGCTGTGCGAAAACTAGGACATTATGTAGGCCTGCTCGCTTCGTATAGTGAAGACGTTGGGGAGCAACATTGAACAGTTTCCTGGATGCCGTGCATGGAATGGTGGAATGTATACTTCTCAGCAAATTGGTAAGCGTTGTTGCAGAGAGAGATACTCTTTAGAGCTAAGTTGTCGGTCCCGGTTAGCAAAAGGTCTTCATTAAACTAAACGGTATTCTTGAAATTGATATAAATTCATGTTGAGGGCTCGCCAGATGGTGAATGTAACAATATCACTTGAAAGTAAAAAATTAATACCAAGGCCAAAGCCTGCTGAAGTAGTTTATAGGGTGCGCTCTTTTAGACAAAGTGGAAATTGAACTGATTTTAGCGCTCACCATTCATAGTTACTTTACGATTCGCACCATCTTTGAAGAAGTGCGGTCCAATCATGTCGCCAGCCCATAAACCGCACCACACTTTCAGGAGTTGCTCGTTTGTAAGACGATTCATAGTTATATTATAGGCCAAACTAAAGATTTTTGACAGTGACCACCCTTTATTATATATTCATCTTTCGGAAGAATCCACGTTTTCCTTATACCAAAAGTTCAGGTTTTCAGCGCAGATGAATTCGCATGCTACAAAATTACATCTCTGATTTACTTATTCCAAAAAAGAATTTCTTTCGAATTTCTGTTGACACACTTTTCCCTGCTACGAATTTTTAAACAAAATTTTCCCACAATATTTGCATCGAACATTTCCCAAAGACTTTGTATCTGATAAAGAAAATACACAAAAATCTATGTTTTCATTACTTTTTTTTAAATAATGACCCTTCCATAGAAATTTTGAGAATTTTGTAATGATTTTGACCTTATTTATATAAGCAATTCGTTATACATGACACTACATGTTAGACTTGCCATATAAAAAAATTGTTGTTGACATTTAATAAAAAGTTTTATGATTTAGATATTTCTGAAGATTAAAATACATACACCTATGAATAATGTGTTTAACAGAAATTGTTATTTATTTAGGAAAATAACAGTGTAGCCCTTTATAATTTTATAGTCAAAATGTTAATCTGTTTTTTAGATGAAATTATATGAGTTACTTAATGATTTTTGACAACCAACAAAACTGAAACAAATTTGTCATTAAACATATGATTTTGCTGTCGTCGTAATCTTTTATTCTACAAACATTGAGTTTACATTATTTCTGCTGCCTTTTGGGTGTTTCTCATTATTAAACACAATTTTAACACACTTCTGTAAACTTTAATGAGTAGAAGTACTTTAACAGAGGTATGCTATATAAATGTTAGGGTTTTCAGAGAAACACTCTCATAACAAATTTAATGTAACAGCACTTTTACAAATAAGTATATGAAGGCAACAATATTATCTTCGGCAATATGAAAATATACACGTTTACATCATTTGAAAATAATACGTTATTAGTTTTTTATTGATCTTATCTTATTTAAATTTCATATCAATAACAGAGCAAGTATAATATACTTCATTTTGCAAAATAATAATATATTAAGCTAATAAAGAGTTAAGACCAATAATTCACTATACGAATATTTATTGCAGAGAAACTTTAGGGCATTCAACAAAATTAAGACTTGACCTACCTCAAAACACTTTCTGCACCAGGCGGACCATCTACTCATTTAAGTTGTGCTGATAAACGCAAATTCTTTGCATAACAAGTGCAAAAGTAAATTAAGAGAAATCAGTAATTGCAAAAAAGAGAAATAGTGTATAACAGTTATTTAGGCTGAATTAAAAGAAGTGAGCATTATGCTTCCCTACAGAAAATCCTTACTCAAAACTGTTTATTTTAATTAATATTATAAGTTGAATTTAGGCGTTGAATATACATAAAATAACTACTTCCTTTGTGCAATGTAAATAAGTAATTGTTAAGTAATGAATTGTGAGTTGCCTAGTTTGTAGCAATTTGCTAAAGTTAAATGTTTTTAAATTGTTTTGGATTCTCTCCACTTGTGTTTTTATAACAGTTTTACCTAACACTCGATTACTCTCAAATTATAGAGAGAGTGTCCATCTCAGAATGACTAAAACAATTTTTCGCATGTCATCTGATGCTAGTCGTTGCATATCTCTAGGCGCTCTCTCAACATTTGCCGCGTTCATTTATGCTCTTCATTCATTGCTATTTTCAAAAACACGTGGTTCAAGTATATACATGTGCATGTAAAAATAACATTTGCTTGTGTAACGCGCAACACAAGAAATAATCGCCTCTCTTCGTTTATTACTCGGTCGCTGCAAACTCATCGACGGCGAACAGCTGGAAAAGTATGCCGCGCTTTTCGGCTACACTATGCCGAAGCTATGAAAACAGCCTGGCATATGACATGCACTGAAACAGTTTCAGCTTGAAAATCCTGCCGTAAGGATGTTGAAATATTCGCTGCGCGTATTAAACGGTTAACGGTCCATATAACAATGTATCTTTCATAAATAGTTAATTATGAAAACAAACAAAGAGCAAGGGCGTGCTAATGTGTGTAATATTGTGGAAACTTGACGAATAACAACAGCAAAAAGAATTACTAAAAATGTTTACTTAACACCAAAATGAAGTTTAGTGTCATAATTCAAAATGTGTGCTCAACGAAAAGTGTCATCTACTCGTATAAAGCGAAAGAGCTTGTGAAAAGTTACTTAGTGAAGAAAAATGTTTGAATAAGTTTAAAGGAATAATGTTTTTGAAATGCAAAATAATTAACAGGATTGCAGTCCAACAAATACGGAGCCCAGTTAAACGAAAAACCAGCTCATTGGCGGCAATCCAGCACGTGTCCGTGCTAAAATGACCGTCATAAATTTGTCAGTGGATTGGGTGTTTTTTAAGTCGCTGGAAGGATCGTAGAACCAACAGTGTGGTTTAAAAGTTTTAAAATCATGCGTTATGTATAACACTTGCAGACTTATACATACGTACACAGAGATCGAATGTGAGAATGTCAGTTAAATTCATCAAAAACAGTGCGTAAAGATTAGTTAAAACAAATAATATTAAAAAATAAAAAAGAAATAAAATAAGTAAATAAATGAAAAAAAACAGGGCAAGCATAAAAAAGTGTGCATAAGTAAATGAAGATAACAGGCTGTTACTCATAAGTTCTACGGCATCATTAAACTTAAAACCGCCGTGTTTTCATAGTCTGCGCGTTTGTGCGACAGTCAGGATATGGTCGTCATCATAAAATGTGAAATAAAGTAAACAAATTTGCCATTAGCACACACATTTACATTACATGTGTGTCAGAAAAAAAAATAAATAGCATTACAAAAAGTGCTTGCGTGTATATAGAAAACGAAAACAATAACAAAAAACAAGTTTGGTGAACAAAGAAAAATACGACAAGCTGTTACCTCATTTCGAGCACTTCTCCAAGAATCGATAAAGTTGGTTCGTTACAAGCATTCCACCTCTTAAATCAACAATGTAAGCAAATATTTATATAAATTTAATATTAGACCAAAGGGAAGGAAGTGGATGTAAACTGTTGTTGAGTGTGTAAGTGCGCCGTATGGTGACTGTTGTGTATTATGACTCAAAAATTTGTTATTGATTTAACGTAAAAGTAAAATTTTAACATTTTTAGTTTTACTCAGCTTATTTATTACCAGATGCCCGCTTCTGTCTGACTATTTGAATACAAACGTGGTTCACGGTAATTTGGCTAGTCATAACCAACATTTTTTATGAACCCAATTGTTTTAGAGTAATTAAAATATGTTTTAAAAGTTGAGACCATAAATCAAAAAAAAAAAAACTACTTGTTTGCAACGTTTGTTGTAGATTTGCGACTTTTTGTCATCGTCATATAGTAAGGAAACTGGGCTTGAACACCTATAGTCTTTGGAATGATTTTCATATGATTCTAACCAGTACTTATTAATACAGGCCGAACAAGGCCGAGCGGGTTGAACGGTTAGTCCATAAAAAATTTGCCTTATAAGCTTCTCATAAGAACTACGATTAAAAATTTTTTAATAATTTTTTCCTCTATTGAAGTGCAAGAAGAGTCTAATGATGCTGCCAGTCTACAAGCGACACCAAGCACTCCCTCCTTAGGGATGCATTGATTTTTATGCGTTTTCCGAGCCTAAATGGTCAGTTGAAGACGAGCTTTATCGATTTTCAGACCATTGAATCAAGCGAAGTCACATCGGAAGCTCATAAAAGTTCACCTCTTAGACCATTTGGATTTTTTGAGCTTTCATAACGAGGCTTTTATTCAAAATCCTGCAGAAGAAAGTATAAGGAATTTTAAATTCATGCAAACAATATCGAGCTGTGCTGTTTGCTGAATGTTCGAGCAATGAAATATTTCCCTTCGAACACACTGCACAAGCACATACCGGACTTGTTTTGTCCGCTAACAAACCGGTATGGTTATCTGGCTACATACATAAATTGAGCCACAGACTGCCTGGAACACGAGTTATTTCATGTTCCTGTAGTTGCAGTTGACAAACTAACACTCTAATTTTTCCTAAGCAACAAGTCTGGTGCTGAATATTTAATAAATCGGGAACACCATTGATGATCTCAAAGCCCAAATAAGACCTTGTCCGAAGAGCAAATATTGGATGACTCACCAGCAAAAGCTATTATGATTTTAAATAGGTAGACCTACTAGAAAAACTGGCGACCGCGTTGGCCGAGTGGTTAGCATTGCATACTGCCATTCGGAAGACTCGAGCTCAAATCTCCGTAGCACCAACACCCAAAATTAGTGGAAAATTAAGTTAAATTTTCAAATTGCGGTCGCCTCTCAGCAGGGAATGTCCACCCCTCTGAGTGTATTTCGGACACGAAGCAAAGCTCTCCACCCAAAAAAAAAAAAAACATCAACTGTTCGGAGGCGGCGTAGTATTAACTTTAGGTCCCTCCATTTGTTTGTAAAGCATGAAGACACAAAACCGCAAATCGAAGGAGGAGCTCGGCCCAAAATCGCTTCAGTGGTGACAACACGCCAAATGTGTTTACTATATAATTTATGCAGGGGAAAGAGTGGGGTGATATTGAAATATGATGAACCTATAATTGTTGTTGTCATTAAACTTAGGTTAGCATAAGCAAATAAAAAAATATCATACAAGTTGAATATGGGCTGGAGTAACTAATGGATTTGCTTGAATAAAATTATCTGGGTCTCCTAAAATGTGCGGGTGAATCAATAATGGAAGTAATATAATTATAATAATAAATAACAGTACACAAATATTGACATTACAAAAATTAATGTAAATAACACAACAAAATATTCCCATATTTGCTTTTACTTTCATGTAGTAAGTGCCATAATTCTTGTAACCAATAAATTCATCACATTGTAGCAGAAAAAGTTGGTCTAGGAGAATATTTTAATTTTAATTAATTTTATTTTATTTTTTTTTTTTTTTTTTAATGAAGCATACTTGAAAAAGTATGTGATAATTTTTTGTTATTGTATTAATATAATAAATATTTTTTTAGCAAAATAAATTACTTGCGGTAGATTTTAAGTTACCTCTAAACGGCAGCCAGATTTTTGGAATTAGAAGAAAACAAATCTTAGGTTTGCTTACTATATTGAAGAGACAAATATGTTTATATATATATATTTTCAGCTTCATTATTTTGCGAACAATGTCTAATAATGGAGTACGAAAAAAAGTCAATCAACACTTTATGTTTAGCACCAAGCCTTGGCCACACCTTTTATACACATGTTTGCGTGTTTTTCTTCGCCTTCGTATTAAAAATGAGTTGTATTTCGCTCATTAAAATTTAAGCACATATGTTGATATTCTGCTATTAGGTAATTTATAGTAATTTTGCATGAAACATTGGTTGAGTTACCCGAAATAGTCGTACCACAGTGACCACAAAAGTTATTCATCGGTATTCGAACAATTAGCCTAATCACCGTCATCCAATCTGTCTACATGCTTTCCCATATATCTAGGTAAATATTTACGAACACGTGATATACATAAAGCAATGAATAAATGTCTTTTCATTATATTGTTACTGACAAGCAGCATTGCCCCTCGAAGTCATGTGTGCTTTTCTTTGCTTTTCTACGCCCTGTCTGCTCTTTTGTTATAACATTCCTCAATTATCTTGTAATAGTAATTTACTTTAATGCGTCTGTTCGCATTAATCAATTTTATAGACTTTTTGGGTTTTAATCTCAATGAGGTTTTTGCTCGAAAAGTATAAAAACACATATAAGATGGTGACGAAGTCTTATCCGGAACGGTTTGGAAAGTTGAAGCTTTCTCGGTGAACATTGGATTATAGTCAAATTTATCAAAAAAAAATTTAATTTAGTTCAATAATGGCTTTTATTTTTAAAGCTAGGCTAGACCAGCTGACTTTTCTACTTAACTGTTAATATTGTATCTTTTGGATTTAAAAGATGATGAATCCTGCAGTACACGCTACGTATTTGTAGGCACAAAAACTCGCTACCACGTAGTAAAAGCCACAGGTGTAAGGAACTGCTAATTTAAAAAAAGCTAAAAATTTAAAAGTTGAGTTATCGACTTGTGTTATTTACACTATTTTTAATATAAAAAAATTGGAAAATGAAAGTGGCAATGCTTATTAGTTTGAAGTTAAAGCTTATATTAATAAACCAATTTTGGAACTAAAAAAAGTCGTTATCAATAACAAAATATTACCAAAATAACAAAAACTAATGATACCTTCAGATCTTATGTAATATTTAATTAAGCGATTTTCGGCCGAGTTCCGCCTCCAATTTGTGGTTTTTGCGTGGAGGGAACTACAGTTTATACTAAGCTGCTTCCGACCGGCTGATGGTTTTTTATAAGAAGCTTTATTTCATGACAAAAATGCAATCGGAGGGTTGACATTCCCTGCCCAGGGGTGACCGCAATTAAAAAATTTAACTAAATTTATTATTTAAATTAATTAACCATAAGTTTTGGATGCTGCTGGCACTGAGATATAAACCCAGGCCGTCCGAATGTCAACACGCGATGCTTACCACTCGGCTACCGCGACCGTCATTCCTTCAGATCTTGCCTTAGAGAAAATCAACTTCTAAAATTATAATCTTTACTTTTTTATTTTACCATAGCAATCGCGACAGATTGAGCTTATATGCTCTTTTCGTATATTTTTGAAGAAAAACTCGCGATTTATTTTCATTATTTTCCTTCTTCTATTCATATGCAGGACAGTAAGAAGTAGATGTTACTGAACCGGGCGCCTGGACGAGACATTTTCCTCATTCGAAAGCCACCCATAGAAAAAATTATAGCTTTGTTTTTATGTTTGCTGACAAATTAGCTATAGCTGACCTTTTTATTTATTTATTTGTTCAAACACACCACTATAAGTTATTTTACAGTAATTAAACTTAACTCTAATAGTTAACCTTAATAGTTAAAATAAAACAACTTGTATATAATTATGGCATTATACAATATTTTTTTTTTAACCATGAAAGCTTCACTATTTTCTTAATTCTTCATCACTTTGGTATACGCCTTGATTCCGGCAATGCCTCAGAACGCTGTAGGAAGGAAAAGTGGCTACCTTTTTGTTACTTCTGCAACCGATTAAGCCGCACTTATCTCATCCACCAGAATGTAGTCCATGATCCTCTCAATCTTTTCAAAACCCAAAGGGAGCGATGAGTTTCTCGTCCTTTGGCTAATCAGATAGAATTTCAACTTTATTCTTTCTCAATGGAAGTTTATGTGGAAAAATAGATCAGGGCAATTCACCACGCGTATGCTATAAACTAAAATACTGTTAGTTTATAGCATACGCGTGGTGAATTGCCCTGATCTATTTTTCCACATAAACTTCCATTTATTGATGCCATATTTAAAAGGGTTTATGACATGCTTTCTGCTACATTTCGCCAATCATCAAGAAATACTTTCTTATCTTGTCATTGATTTTTGGGAAAGTCTCTAGGAAGGGCGTTTGCGTAACCGGCCAGTCTTTTTTCACCTCTTGTATGAATATTATCGAAATGCCTAAATTTCAGAAGAAACCATCGATTTTCCAATGATTTTGTTGTATTTGGGAGACTGCTCCACAGCTTTCCGTAAAAGCATAGTAGCCTCAATAGAGGTCTCAGTTCATCAATGTATGTAGACTTACAATCACTTTCTTTGAAGAAGTAAAATCGCAGTTTGTCATTTTCAATTGCAGTTCCCACTCGACAAAGAACATCAAGACCTCCGAATGTATATATGAAATTAAATAAAAAATATGTCTCCACTAGTTGGAGAATCAACCAATTATGTATATTAAACTTATGGATCATTATTATTTAAAAATCTGTTCCATTTTTCGGTTTATAATTTCGTTTTTAGATATGGCACATATTGTTATTGTTGTTTTAGTAACCGCAAAAAGTTTAACTAAATCGAGGATTTTTTCTCAAATGACAGACAGTAGGATGAAAA